CGGCTGGTTTGTTCCTGGGAGGGTGTAACCCTGCCTGCGGTAAAGTCTAAGGTAGAGTCAAATTGGAGATATTTTGCTCAATAGTAAATGAAATTAAGTTGGTGCGTTCTCTGCAGCTTTACTGGCAAAAGTTGTCCACGGGAATTTCCTAGAGTCTGAGACCAACTGTGAAAGTTCTCTCAGAGTCTTGGTAATTCTCCTTTTAAGAAGCAACTGCCTCTTCGCTTTTTCTGTTAGCTAAATGGGAAGCTTTTCATGTGTTGGAGGCTGCTTTCCCGTGATCCACCGGAGAGTATTAGGATCCCAAGATGGTTCCTAGCATTAAGTTATATTTCGGAGAGGGGAGTTTGTTGGTCAGCTGTAGATCAACCATGTGGAAATGCTAGTGTTTCCTTTTAAAATCCTGTCAAGTGTTTTGAATGAGGAGAAGTGAGTTGGCAATGTCATTATAAAGACCAGCTGCAAGCCTCCGTGGATTTCTGCCATGACTGTGGTGCTGTCAGCTGTATAAGCTAGTGAAATCTAGCTTGGGACAAGCTGAAATAATTAAAAATAGAAACTGGGTAACTTTATACTGAAAGATTGAAGAAATGAAAAAACAAACGAGAGGAACTGACACAGGACTGTGAGTTGGGTGGTCGTGGAGCATCCAGTGTTACTTAAAAGCTGATACTGTCTTTTAACTGTAGCCATTGCATAAAATTCTGGACAGGAAAGAGGTGTGTCTTGGCTGTCATTGTACCTCTCCCAGAGGTTTTGATTCCGATGGGACTGGGGCTGTCTCCACTGGTGTTAGTTTTCTCTGTGCAATTGGATGAGATTCACCCAGCTTCAGTGATGCCTGGTGTGAATGTGCCCCCTTTTGAAATGGTGTTGTGAGACTTGTCCGGTGTGAGAGGATCTCTGTCACAGTGCAGGGATCTCCAGCTGCTGACCAAGACGCTTGTAGCAGCTTGTTAAACCCTTTTGGCTACAGCCCTCGCGAATACTGCAGACAACATGTAATCACAGCTGTGTGTTGCTTGTTCTGCAGTTTGCAGGCCAGCAAAAGTTGTCTTTATTAAGGTCTTCCATAATTCTAGCCTTCCATGTTTTTTTTTCAGTCTGCAGCCCTTTAGAATTTGAACTAATGATTCCTTCAGAGGTCATTTGGTTTATTGGTCTGCTCGCTGTGAAGAAATGACCCTCTTTTTTATTCCCCGCAGCGCCTCGGAAGGCAGCACTGAATCATATCTGAAGGTCTGGAACAGATGCAGCGATTTTCCAATACAGCAGTTGCAAGACCTTGACTGTCAGTTATTGATTTGTTTCCCACCTTCAATTGCCAGCAGCAGCTGCCTGAATTTGTGTGGGAAAGATTGTAGAGAGAGTCTGTTTCCGCTTTCTAGAATGAAATATTTGGTACTTGGAGATAGAATGAAATGTTTTTTTTCTTTTTGGGGGGAGGTTGCTTTCTGTGTTTTGGAAGAGCAGAGCAGCAGAAGCAGTGAGCAGGAGAAAGCACCAGATTTGACTTGCTTTCCCTCTTTTAGAAAGACAAGGGTGCATTGTATAATGTCAGTGAAGCTTGTCAGCTCTGTGAGAACTCACCTCCTTCTTGTGTGTTTTTCTACCCACCAAGAACTGGAACGATCAAGACCACCGCGCCTTTGTGCAGAGCCACCTCTTGGATATGCTGGAACTCCTGCTGGAGCCGGAGCAGCTCACTGCCTCCTCCCATTCCACCCACAGTAGCTTGGTATCCTATGAAGCCGTCTGTGCCCTCAGCTTTCTTATTGAAGGGACTGTGAACAAATCCAGGACGGTCCATCCTCTGCATGAGCTTGCTCTCTGGCAGCCCTGTCACGGGCAGAACGGCTACTCAAAGGTCTCCAGAGCCTTCTCTTTCCCCAAGCTAGAGAGCTGGCTGCGCTCTTGCCTGACGACAAACCCTTTTGGAATGACTGCCTGCCTCAAGTCTGGGAAGAAACTCGCGTGGGCACAGCAAGGTAGCTATGGGCCTTGCCTTTATCTTTAGAAAGAACTTCCCAGTCTCAGCTCCGCTTGCTGACCAGGGATCTGGCAGTGGTGTGGATGCTTGCCTTCTTTTCCTCCTACTGTCATTGGAGATGGGGACAGTGACAGCTTAGAGGTGAATCTGGGGGACTAGAGGATGCTGCGTGACATCTGTGGGTATTTTTCTGGTCCTTGGATGGGTTTTGTGAGCAAACATTAATGACTTCATTGTCGAAGGCCCCTCTGAGTGAGGTCAGTATTGCTACTCTCGTTATTCAAGTACAGCTGGGCACAGAGAAGAGAGACGGTGACATATTTGTTGCAAAGCTGAGAAATGATGTAGGTTTCCTTGTCTTGAATTGTAGGCCCTCACCTGCAGGGACATGGCAGTGGAGCCAAGGCACCTTCCACCTTAGGAGAAAAAAATTCAGATTAATATTTCATTTCTCTGACTGTGCAGTCCTAAGAGTGGCAGTGCGTTAGGTAGGACAGTGAAGTTACTCAAGGATTGTACTGTAGAGGGAGCATTGCACTGTCCTAAAACAAACAGTTCCTGCTTTCAATGTAAAACTTGCCCTAAGGATCTTCCTGCCAAGCTAAGTCTTGTGTTCAGGAACAGAATTCTGGAAATTGAGATGCCTAGGTCAGGGCTGTCTGTAGCTTGTGGGAGGCTTTGGCTGCCCTTGAATAATCTTGAAGTGTTTTTGGTCTTTCAATGTGCCCCAACTTCTGGAGCTTCCGACTGCTACGTATTGCTGACCTGCGTAGTAGACATCGGTGGATGATAGGACTGGTGCAGTTGTGATGATACCATCCTTGAAGTTTTGGGCCGATTATTTTCTTGAGGGATTACTGAGTGATGTGAACAGTGAACCATCACGTCTATGTCTCTAGGAATCATGTAGAGCCTTTTTGTGTTTTGTTTTGTTGTTTTCTTAAAATTTTAAATGCATTGGTGAAATTTATTTTGCAGTTGAAGGAACAACCAGGAGAGCAAAGATTGCCTGCAATACTCGTGTGGTGCCTGAGGTGTTCCCCATGGTGATAATGAGCCAAGTGTACAAGCAGACGCTGGCCAAGAGTTCGGACACCCTGGTGGGGGCTCACGTAAGAATTCATCGCTGCAACGAGTCCTTCATTTATCTCCTCTCTCCTCTCCGGTGAGTTTTTGTTCTCTTGGGACCCAGCTAGATGTCTTTTCAGCGAGTTTGTTCGAGTGCTAAGTTCTTGTTAGATGGACCAAGCAATGAAAAAGTCCTGGTTTTGCTCTGTTCTCCTCACTGTGTCCTCACTGTCTTGTTCTTTTGCAGATCTGTGACCATTGAGAAGTGCCGGAATAGCACTTTTGTCCTTGGCCCTGTGCAGACGTCTGTTCACGTCCACAGCTGTGACAACGTCAAGGTCATTGTGGTTTGCCATCGTTTGTCCCTTTCTTCCACTGCTGGCTGTACTTTTTACATTCTCACGCCTACCCAGCCTCTCATCCTCTCAGGGAACCAAGCAGTCAGCTTTGCCCCTTTCCACACCCATTATCCGATGCTTGAAGACCACATGGCTCAGGTGGGCTTGGCCACTCTGCCAAACTACTGGGACAATCCCATGTTGGTGTGCAAGGAGAGCAGTGATACAAGTGTCTTCCGCCTCCTGCCGCCCTCGGACTTCTACACCTTTGTGATTCCTTTTGAGATGGAAGGAGACACCACGGAGACACCGGGTGGACTTCCCCATGCGTATCAGAAGGCGCTGAGTCAGCGAGAGCAGAAGGTACAGATCTGGCAGAAAACTGTGAAGGAGGCAGGCCTGACCAAGTGAGTGCTGGACCCGAACGGGAACGTGTGAGCTGTGTTGTAGCTGAGCTCAGATGTACAAACAGAAGATTCGTTTGATGTGGTTCAACAGAAATGCTTTAATAATGGGTTGATTTGCATGAGCTGTATCTTGCATGCCATTTCTAGAGCCTTAGTAATTAGCAACCTTGGGATCCTGGTCTTTGGTATTATTGTAGTGAGAAGAAGAATGCTGACAATTGTAACTCTGAAGGAGGTGCTTTGTCATGATTGCATTTCCTTAGCTTGCGAGACTCAAGGAAAAGCATGCCTAGATACTGTTGAGGGCTGAGGTGCGGGATCCACCCTGGCAGTAAGAGTTTACTTACGACTTATCTCACGCTGGGTACTGTCTCTCTGCTGTCTCTGTTCTGCTTCCAGTGTCGCATGCTGCCGTGGGTGAGATCTGGGTGCGTACCCTGAACAACAGCTCGACTAATTATTGGCCTGCAGCTGATTGATGGTCACTCTTAGCCCAACCTTTACATTGAGATTGAAGCTTTAAATTACTGTCCCATCTGTTGTTGAGGTGAGCTAAGAATGTGCATGTGGACCATTACAGTAGATCACCTCGTGGACAGTAGCTTTTAAAGTCCTCTTTGTCAGATCACATGGAATCCTCTGCCTAGCTTTTGCTGTACTAGCTAGGCCTGTCCTAGCCAATCTCATGTACTGATGTGCGCCTGTTTGCTTTCTCAGTGCCTGTTGTGGAGTTCTGAAAAAGTTCAGCTTGCTTCCTTTGTTGGCCTCCTTTATTCTGCAGCCGGCTAGATCGGGCAAGGGTACACATCTCTACTGACTTCAGTTTAGCTGCTTTTATCTTTTTGTGAACCATTTTGAAGCAGCAACCTGAAGGACCTGGCTTCCTTTGCAAATACAGAACTGGGATAGAAGCCCAGGTATTCAGTTGTAAAGACCTGAAGAGATGAGAACAAGTTTTGTTCCCTAAGCTGTACTTAAGCTGTATAGATTTTCTTTCTGTTCTGTGCTCAGTCGATGACTTGTAACGGGTGTGTAACTGGGTGCTGATAAGCAGTGATCTTGGAGGGGTTTATCCTGTGGGGAACACAGAATATGAAAACCTCCTCTTGGGTCAAACTGTCAACACTTCCCATCGTACCAGGCTGAGGAGTTCTAGTCCATTTGATCATTCATTGTTTTAGAGGAGCTCCCTCTGCTTCCCTTCTTCCTTTCTGAAATCCAGGTGCCTCTGTGCTGAGCGGGGAGGAGCCTGCGGTTTGAAAAAGCTCTAAACTGGGAGAGAGAAAGGGTTCTGGGGCAGGATTTTGCTATAAGTGGAGGGTGGCTGAGCAGTAGTGACCCAATAGTGGTGACAGAGGTGTAAAAACCTTCAAAACTCTCAGCCCTGAGCCTTCAAGGGCAGCAGAGAGGGAAGTTATAACCTCAGCTCTTTTGCTAGAGTCATCCGTTGTGTCTATCAACCTCATCTAAGGTGCCTCCCCTCCAGCCCTTGTCTTCCCAGGGCTGCTGCTTCTCACCCTAGGGTTTTGCGGAGGTCTTTGGCCTGTCAAAAATCTTACAGTTAAAGAAATGATGAGGTAATATGGATGATGTGCTTAGATTTAACATCTTCTGCAGCAGTCATGGGGGGCAAGAACTCTCTACTGGAGTGGTTTATTTCATAAAAAGGGGAGAACTGTGCCAGGTTTAGAAGCTTGCTGAAAAAAAAACTGGGCAGCTGACGATGTAAAATGTCTCTGTCTCCTGCAGGCAGAGAAACAACTAGGGAGACAACTAGGAAGCTTAGAGCAAACAGGATGTCAGACTTGTAGAAAGAAAAAAGCTGCCATGCTTGAACGGGGAGGTGAAAGAGAATGTTAGAAATAAGAAGACATCTTTCAAGAAGTTGAAGTTGTCTGAATGAGGAAAGTGGGGCAAAAAAAGAATGTAAATCCTGCCAGGCTGAAAGTAAAACCCCCGTAAGACAGGACCAATAAGACAGCTTGAGGAGCAACTTGCAAAAGCATAAAATCCTGTTTATTCATTTTCTGAGCATATCAGACAGAAAGTCTTTCAGGGTCAGTAGCAGATCAAGGTATATGAAAAGCACTTGGAGAAGATAAAACCGTAAGGGAAGAAAGAAGTGACTGCCTTTGTGTTCACGTTCACTGCGGAGGAATTTAGGTTAGTTTCTATCCTAGAACCCTGCTTTCTGGGGAATGTCTCGAGCGGAACCGATAGTACAAAGAAGAGCCTTTAACTTGAAAAAAAGGTCTGGGTACACCCAGCCTCTCTGAAGCCGAGCGGCACAAAAACGAATAGGATTGGTTTGCTGCTTTTCCCAATACAGGATGGGATCAGCACATCAAATTAGGAATGGGTTCAAAGCAAAAGCACATAAAATCTCTGCAGGATATTGCAAATGTTCATGTTTTACGTGGATTCAGAAAGGAATTGCGTAAGCTCATAGGAAAAAAAAAGTCCAGCAGGAGCTACTCAACACCCATGCCACCTTTGGCTTCAGAAATTCCGGAGCTGAGCTGATCCCAGATGGCTGGGATACTATTCTGGAGAAATACTGTGCTACTCTTGGATATCTGACTGGTGCCAGAGACAGGGAACCTGAGCCAAGTGGAATACCCTGTTATTGCTGGTCTTGCCAAAACCACCCCAAAAGTTATTTAGTAGTAGTAATGGGAATTATTTGAGGAGTGTTGTTTATAGGTGCATTTTTTTCCTGATCTCCATCCTCTCTCTTTCAGATGCCATCAGAACAGAATTTTGTGTCTTTAGTGCTTGAATGCTGGTTAATAATCTTGTTTTTCTCCCTTTTCAGACAGTTTTTAATCTGCGCTCTTAAGGGTAAAGCGGCAGCAGTCCTGTGGAGCAGGGTTGCTGTGCTAGTGGGATGGGGAAGTTTGCACGACTTCTGTAACTCCACCAAGTTCTGCCTTTGGGGTTCGTTATAGTCACATTCGCTTGGTAAAAACCTTCTCTTCCTGGTACAGACAGTCCAGGAACCAAGCCCAGCTCTTAGCTGTTATATATGGAGGCTTGTTTTGGTAGGGAAGGTGAGGCTAAAAGTATAATACTGTAAATAAACATGAACTTTACGTACCCTGCTGATCTTCTTTTGGTTTCAGGGATCAGAGGAAGCAGTTCCAGATACTGGTAGAAAATAAATTCTATGAATGGCTGGTTCAGACAGGGAACCGTCAGCAGCTGGATAGCCTTGTCCCTCCTGCAGCGGGCTCCAAGCAGGCAGCAGGATAACGTCACGTGCAGCAAAAGGAAAGGAGGGGTGAGTAGAGGGTCTGTTTCTCTTGATTCTTCTCTATCTAGAAGAATTGTCCCATGTTTGTGTGCCCAGCCTAGGGAGAGGTAGAAGAAGTAGGAGGCTGTTCAGTGGCCATTCTCCCAAGAGCCTTGCATTTGGTTTTAGTTCTTATTTTGCAGGTACTTGGCACCTCCTTTGCTCTCTGCAGGTGTTCTGTTTCATTTGTTAGGGATATCTGTGCGTGTCTGTAAAGGCAGATAGGCATATTGTACATAATCTAATGCAAAAACTTGTTTGAATAGCTGCTTTTTCCAAGAGGCTGTGTGTATTAATGTCTTTACTTACCCATCTCGCTTTTTGCTTAAGAGATTCGAGTGAGACTTCAAATAATTCTTACTTTGTAGTGTCTCTCTCTTCCCAAGTAGAAGTGGTTTAGGAGCCAGAGACAAGCCCTTAACATGTTTTTCTGCCATTGCACGTTTCAAACCATTAGGAAGTTGAGGGTTTTTTTCCTTTTCTTTAGTCTCTGAGTTGCTTTTTCTTTGCTAGTGTTGGGAGTAAAATTTGCTCCTCTTATTTTGTTACAGAGTTCTGGGAACAGGCAGAAAACAATTCTCATTAAGACTTTGCGACCATCCTGCCTGGACACACCTGATGTGGATCTGACACCCAGCCTCGGTGTGGATTGGACTGTCTTGTCTGCTTTAGGATTTCTGATCACTGCCCCTTTCCCAGGAATGTGCTGTAACTACTCTGTTGGAAACTGAGAAAGTGCACGTCACTAGAGGAGGACGAAGTATGCCTGGTTGCAGATCCTTTAGTGGGGAGGCTGTCATCATGGTTAGTGTCCATGGTGTGCAACCTGGTGCAAAGCTGGACGCAGGGCCCTGGACATCGCGTGCGTCTTTGTGGTACAAGCCAGCTGCACTGTTTTTATAAATGTGAAAAAGAGATGTTTGGGTGGTTTGGTTTTTTTTTGTTTGTTTGTTTGGATTTTTTTAAATGAATGAAATTCAATGGATTTTTTAATATGAAGATGGCACTTAAACAATGTGATTTTATGGAATTAAGTTTCTTACACGTTTGCGTTGTTTTGACAAATGTCAATAAAACAGAGTTCTCAGATAAGCTTGGTGGGAAAGGGTTTTACCTGTACAGTGGGGTTAGAAGGACACAGCATCTTTACTGCTCAGTGAAATGTGAACAGGTCAGCTGAGAGAGAAGTGCTAATTTATTAACAGCCATGGAGTTGAAGGTTTTGAAGGCTGCTGTTTTGATACAAACGCTGTTTCCCACCTTTAATATTTCTTGTAAAGAGTATGAACTTGAACGAGTACCATTCTCATGTGCTAGTGGAACCTGTCTTGGGGAGATGTGCTCGTAGCTGAGTGCTTAAATAAGCTAGGCAAAATAAGCTAGGCAAAATAAGCTAGGCAAAATAAGAAAGGCATTGATTGCTATCCAAGCTGAGAGTGAGAGGAAGGCAGGGGCATTTAGTGCTCTGGTGTACACAGCTGTTGTGATGCTAGGATTTTTTTGAAGGTCTTTGTTGGCTCCTGGGGAGGCAGGTGATGCAATGCAAGGTGAATTTATTATATTTAACCGACTTTTAAAGGAGGGATGTGCAAAGTGACCGCAGTGGAGCTTTGAGATGTCCTAGTGAACCTATTCAATAGGACCTGGATTGTGGTTGAACTCTCGTCTTTGTAAGACATTGCCTTTGAATAAAAAAAAAATAAAAAATCCAAGTGGCCTCACAGCTTTCTAGTGGTAAGAGCTCTAAGCAACAGCACTAGGTGATTCAAGCTACCTAAAATGGGAAGAGGACGAGATGCTGCTGAGCATGTCTGTCTCGGGCCGTCATATCTGACTACATTGAGCAGAGCTGTGGCAGTGTACATGGGGTGGCACGCAGAGCTGCTGTTGCGAGACTGCTTGTCCTGACAGATTTGAAATAGGCTCTGTGTGTTTCAGGCACTGCTGTGCCAAATTCATCTCCCTTTGTTTCACTAAGCCTTTGGGCTGGTGCAGTGAATAGCTGCAGAGGTGATTTTTCATAATGCACTGGCGGGGGGGGGTGTGGGTGTACATAAGCCAGCAATCCTCACCCTCCCTGCTCTGTGGTCTGGAGTGTGGCTAAAAGAAAAACTCTTTTGCTCAAACCTCAGACAGTGGTATATGTTTTGAGTTGACAGTTTTGAGTTGAATTTGTGACCCTAGCAGATACGGTCAGAAATTTGGGCATCATTCTTTACTATTTGATGTGTGAAATCATTCGCTTTGGGGGTGTGTGGCCAGACATACTTCTTTTCCTCTATGTCAGGCACCATTTGGAGCAATATAGCTCAAGCTGAGGATGTGCTGTAAAAATACGCAACCTCTTTGCTGCCCAGATGTTTCCATTGTGAGCTTTTGAAGCAGAGCCTCTACGCAGAGGGTGTTCTTTGCAAACCTGTGGTGTCTGCCCTGAGCACGTGTTTACCGTTTCCTACCTGCATCCTTCGCTGCGTGGGAACGTTCTCTGATAAATATTGGGTCTCCTTACAAATATTGGGTCTCCTTACAAATGGGGGGTGGGCCTGTTAGACCTGACGAGGATGCCTTCTCGTTTAACATGCTTGAAAGG